TATTGAAGCACTGTTCGAGCGGCATGTATGTTGGTTTGTATGGATCGACCTCAGATCCCACATGTCTGATGAGACCCAATGAGGATCGACATAGCAAATTGCAACCTATTTGCTAATACTTTTGCGAAAATTATGTAGTCCACGTTTGACAGCGATATTGGTCTGTAGCTCTCGACGAAGCGAAGTTTTTCCTTGTCAGTTGTTTTCGGTATTAACAAAGTGTGACTTTTGCAAAAATATTGTGGGAGTGTATCTATGTCATAACTCATCTGAAAAATACTCAGCAGTATAGGAGCAAGTGTTTTCTTGAAAGCTTTGTAAAATTCGCCTGAGATGCCATCAGGGCCCGGTATTTTCAATAAAGGTAAGTTGTCGATTGCTTGCTCGATTTCCTGTATAGTAATGGGCCCATTAATGACTGCACAATCATTGTCCTTCAAGGGGTTCACAAGAGAAACAAAACTAGCCTTGAGGTGAGCGTCAAGATCATCAGAGGGAGAGCTAAATAAACTGTTATAGTACGTTTCGAACGCCAAAGTAATGTCTCCGTTATCTTTAATGAGCACATCGTTAAAGTACAAGTCTGGAATACTTTAGAAATCGCATGGCGTTGCTCATCAAGTAAAGCTTGGCGCGTCGGTTGCTCGGAATTTGAAGTGCGCTGATTCCGAGATCTAATACGTGCCCTTTGGTAGCGAGCAGCATCATATCTCTGTAGTTGGCAGTTAATATTCTCAAGGTCATCGATGTACTTTCCCGGCATTTCGCATTCCATCTCATAAAGATTGCAAAGACTTTTAACAAGTATCTTTTCATCATTCTTTCTATAGAAAGACTTAACAGCCCCAATTTTTAAAGCTATAGCACAAACTTCTTGTTTGAAAGCTCCCAAGCAGCGAAGATATGAAAACCAATCGAAAAAGATTGCCTCTATGCCATCTGGACGCGATTCATGAATTCCTGATCACAGAGGAGCTTCGCATTCATTTTCCAAAGGGCCCACTGGGGATGGAATTGTTTGTGATGATTTTCACCAACTTGCGCTATGACAATACAATGGTCTGAGAATGATACAGCTTCGGTGCTGCAGGAAATTTTGCGAGTTCGCCTTGACCGGATTTACGTGTCCTCATCACGGAGCCACGCTAGTTCTTGGAACTTGGTTTTAGACTGGCCTTACGCAGGCTTTATGTTGTGACAGGAATTTCGCTAATATGAGTACTAATGCGTTTTATAACATCAAAGGGACAGCCAGGCGTCACACAAACCCGACTTCGTAACGAGTGGGCTGTACAATCCTCCAAACAATTAGAAAACTTGCTCTTGGTGGCCTAATAACTGTGACCCACAACCACTCTAGGCAAGATTCTTCATCGTTATGAGCCACTGCATAAAAAATGCACAAATTTTCTAGCAAGTATGTAGAGGATACCACGCTCCTCCGAAGGATGACGAATAATAGCATAGTGAATGCTGGCCTACTGCACAAACAAGATGATTATCAGTTATGGCGCAGTGGGCACCCAGTGAGTGGGTTTTTCGCAATTACCCAGATTGTTTAGGAAAAGCTCTGAACGGCTGTTCTTCCAGCTTTCGCTGTGACTGTGCTGCGCGTTCCGTGCAGGCCTGGCGTTTTTTTTAACACCCGACGCCTCGACGTGTCCTGCGGTGCTCAATGCAGTGCTGTTGTACAGTGTTCACACCTACCTGCATTGCCCTCAATATGAGGTGCCCTATAGGGCACCTCAAATCTCAGCGCTCGGTTGCTTTTTCTATATGAAATCTTTTAAAAAAGCTAGGCCTCGCAACGTGAATATGCATGATTGTCGAGAATGCGCACGCATGCCAGCTCTCTAATTCGCTCGGAATAGTCAAAATTACAGCGAAACTCAATATTTTGAGAGCGGCTGTAGAGCTTCTGAAAAACATCAAGTGCAAAGTGCTCCTCACATTACTGTCGCCGCAGTACTTTGGTATCATGCGAGAAAGCACACTAGGATTAAGAAGGGACAACGTTACGTCTCCAGTCGTAACGCATATAGTTCTGCGTACGTGCCGTATATTTACAAATACAAGTATTATCATCAGTGTCTATGAAAATACTGGCAATCATTCAGAGCTGCTCATGTCGGTGCTGTGACCCTGATAAACAATCACCAAAAAAGCAGCCAGTTTTTTTTTTGCATACTCATTTTGTATGCCTTTTGGTGATGCGTATTTCGAATGATACAAGTACTTTTTCCTACTCCCGCAGGTTCGTATCACGAAGTTTTTCCCTTACCTAATAAGCAATGATAAGAATGTTGTGTGATAACAAAATTACAGATAAACTGTGTTTAGTTGAACAGAAGACTAGCAAAATACATTGAACTAGGATTCAGATGTGATCTATAGGCGTGTACGCATCAACAGCTTTGACGTTGCGTTGCTTTTTTCGATTATTTGTGTTGTTGTAGTTTGTGATAAACTTTTTCGCATACCACTTCTAGTTGTGTTTTGATGGTTGTCTATGCGTACGGGGCAATATATCTAATGAGATCAAAACAGTTTTTTCATGAAGCGCCACGCCACTTACAATCTCTTCATTGAGTAGTGCTGGTTGTGGGGGGTAATTAGGACTGCGCCACAGGCTGTTCTTTTCGACACATATGTAGTAATGTAAAGTCGTCAGTCAGCTTTCCTTTGAATGCTCCACAGCGTGACCTTGACGGGTTTGACTCATGCTAGCCACAAAACGCTGGGCGCCTAGGCATAGACAATTTGGTATGCACGGATATTATGTCGGCATGCATGAGTCAGATATCGGTAACAAAACACAACGCTACAAGGCACTGGCGTCAATCAAACCGTGTCAGGTCACGCTGTGGAGCGTTCGTGTTAGTCTTACTGACGACGGTACTTAGAATCTTTGAGTACCAGATCTAGCAAAAGAGAGAATGTGTGCCACCCCTATAAAACTCCTTGGTGATTAAGTAGTCTTTTAGTGCCCTCTCGCAGTCGCTGAAACTATCTACTTTCACTGAGTTTTCTGAACCGTGGACCCACGACAGACCTGAGATGCTTATAGTAGCCTTTCCTTCGACAGTCTTTTTGCCGTTTTCACCTCTTATACGGTCCTTTTTCTTTCACAAATCTGAGAATGAACGCTACCTTTCAACAGTGAGCCATGCGTTCAGACCACTCCACTGCCTTCTTTTGTCGACTCTTGTCGTGCGATAGTTCGTAGGATTTTTGTTTCCTTCTGTCAAGTGGCACCAGCTTGAATTTGCATGCACGCTAACAATTTCCTCCTTGAATGTGTGCTCGCCAACGCAAGCCTGATTCGTATGTGGGAGTTAGTTCTCGCGCCGCCAATTGGCTCTTCAATGTAGAAGCGAAATCGATTGAAAGAAGTGTCTGGTAATATGAGCCACAAAGAAGACTTGTCTTTACCTTTACATATGCTTTCTTAATCTTAAAAAAGAAAACCACGCTTACTTTGACTCACCTCTCATATATTCATGCAATAGATCCGCCTTTCCAGAACTCTGGTGCTGAAATTTTGACGTTTTCTGCATTCATGGGGGTAATAACGAACCAGTTTTGTGTGCCACATCAGCGTAAAAACCAAAGTACTGTTTTTCTTTTCACTCACAAAGTACTATGAGTTATGTGGACTGTATTGTAAGAAAAAAAGGAATGGTTTCTTGTCTCCCCTAATAATGCACGACTCTAGACTTTGAAGGAAAAACGTCAAAGGATATACAAAGCATACGTTCTTGCTACGAAACCCTGAGGGTTTCGTAGCAAGAACGTATTACGAGAAGGTATTTGATTCACTTGAGATATTACCAGTCCCACAGACGCTGCACAGTGAGGGCGTCCACGAAGCATATATAAACAACCTGGAAAAAAGAGGTGCAGCGGATCAATTGCCGCCATAGCGCTCCATTAAAAAGCGACAGAATAGCAATAAAGAAGGGTGTAAAACAGGGCGATACGATCTCCCCAAGGCTATTTACCGTGTGATTGTAGGACGCTTTCAGAAGCCTAGATTAGGAAGAGCTAAGGACACAGGTTAATGGCTAGTACCACAGTTACCTACCCTTCGCCAGCTACATTGCATCGCTTAGGAACTCAGGGGATGAGTTACAATTCATGATTACTGATTAGGACCAGTAGAGCAAAAAGGTAGCTCTTAAAATTATTGTGCAGGAAATGAAATTCAAGTTGAACCACGTAGGAAGAAAACACAGCTTAGAGATATGTAGCATTGCTTTTCAAGTCATGAAAGAGTACGGTTACTTAGGACAGGTACAAACCACGGAGCCAAACCACGAGATGGAAGTAAACAGAAGAATAAGAATGGGGTGGAGTATATTCGGCAAGCATTCTCAAATCATGAATGCTATATAGCCACTATCCTTCGAGATGAACGTATGTAACAGCTGCACCTTACCTGTAAAGAGGTTCAGCTTATATTGAGGAAGAAGCAACGAGCAAAGAAATAAAAAACTGATAGGCGCAAACCAAAGGTACAAGAAGAGAGAAAAGTGTATCGTAGAACAAACGGGTATCAACGACATCATTTTCGGAGTCAAGAAGAATAAGTGGTCATGGCCAAGGCTTGTAGCACGAAGGCAAGATATCCGCTGATCATTAAGGATCACAGACTGTATTCGAAGAGAAGGAAGACGGGTGCAGGGGAGACAGAGAGTTAAGTGGACAGATGAGATTAGAAAGTTGGTCGGTATACAGTGGCAGCAGGAAGCACAGCACCCACTGGACTGGCGGAACATGGGAGAGGTCTTTGTCCTGCACAGTACTCGTAGCCAGGTGCTGCTGACTGAACGAGTTGGTGCATGATCGTAGCCAGGCTGCTGCTGCTGCTGCTGCTGATGATGATGATGATGATGATGATCATGATGGTGATGATGATGATCATCATCATGATCATCATGATGATATGAACAAGAAGGTACTCACACTAAAAAGTTTTTAAAGCGCCTTCCATATTTCAGATCCGAATGATGCGTTCAACTTGACTGCTGCATTTTGTGACTGCGCGCAATGCAAGGTTCTCCGACATAGCTACATTGACAATGGTAAGTGAGCTTATGATTTATTTGCTGTAATGAGCTTCAGCGGTTTACTGGCAAGAAGAATTTCGGAATGAAGGGACTTGGTACAGGCTGCAATGCCCTACAGTGATCACGTAGCACACGGATATTGTTACATCAGATGGATAACTGGATGCTGGAGCTTCATTCGTAGTCCTGAGAAACGCGACTAACTTGCGTTGGGATTCACTCTCGTTACATCTCACGACGTGAATAAAGTACAGCTCACAGGCCAAAGTCCTCAAGCTTCGGCTTCTGCCTACTGTTTCATTTCAAATGCAAAGTATTTCTTAGCAAACGTCGGTGACCTTGAATCTATCTATCTATCTATCTATCTATCTATCTATCTATCTATCTATCTATCTATCTATCTATCTATCTATCTATCTATCTATCTATCTATCTGGACGACTACGACTCTTAGCTCTCTTGGCCGTTTCAATGATGGAATCTATACAAAAATGAGTACAGCATAGCATGACTATATGACGATCATAAGTGACTAGCCATAACATAAAAATCGTGACATGTATATCATTATAGTCATTATTTACATGTCAAGGTCTTCCTTCTCTTGCGGTGGTTTCGTTCACATACCATATGGCACGACTGGTATGGTATGAATTGACTGTATAAGTGATAAGCCTTATGTGGAAATGTTGACATGCATGTCACGTAAATCATGACTTCATGCCACGCTCACGATGCACTCGTGGCCGTTCCGCTAACTTTAGATTTACAAATTCAGTATTACGTGACGTTAATGAACCATGGAGGTAAATGACACGTTCAAACATGATATTCACGATGTGCTTGTCATGTAGAAACATGACAACATACCATGCTCATGATAAGTATACACCTGTTTCGCCAGCGTCACATGTGCAAAATTTGATTTCACGTGAAGTGATTGAACGATGAAGGTAAATTACACGTCCAAACATGATAATCATGGCACAACTGTCACGTGAAACATGCCTACATAACACGCTCATCATACGCTCGCGGCCTTTTCACTAGCTTCAAAAATACCAAATTTGGTATTAAGGGTGGCGAACAGACGCCGAAGCTAAATGACACGTCCAAACATAATAATCAAAGAATCGTGTCATGAAAAACGTGACTACAAGCTAAGCTGATTGTGTGCTCGCGGTCGTTTCGCCAGCGCCACGTATACCACATTTGTTATCACGTGACGTAAGTAGACGACGAAGGTAAATGACATGTCCAAACTGATGACGCGAAAGTCATGCACGGCACAATTTACATGCTCCTCGTAACGTTGTGCTAATTTTAAAGTGACATATAACCCTTCTTTATTCGCGCTTTGCATATCATTGATTCCCAGTGTACGTGGCACTGCCAGCAATGTGTAAGCGAGGCTTTTATTAGTTAGAGATTTCAGCCGCAACGACCTCATGCGCAAAAGCACTGTGCTCGTGATCGTATACAAATGGACGTGTGCAACAAGACAGCTTTCGAAGATCTCTGCGTAGGATGCGCATTTGTATGAGATATGCGCCATTGAGCCATCATTAATACTGTTTGTGTTTGTTGTCTACTCAGCTGTCAAGTGTTATTGATAAAGCAATCTGATCTTTTATAGGATCCTCTTGTTTTTTATACAATCACAATTGAAAGAGATTGTTTTCATTTTGATATATTTTATGGTTTGTAGCTCGACCGCCAACTTTTCCCGTAGCACGAGAAAACCTGCACTGCTAACAACGTGGTGAAGGTTCGATTTCTGGCATAGACGAGGAAGGAACAAGTTAGGGTGAAGCTAGTTCACTATAAATATAGCATTGTGAAGTGCACATGAAGGAAAGCAGCAAAGGAAAGACGAAATAAAAGAATAAAGAAAGGGAGAAAAAAGTTATGGTACAAAAAGAATAAAGCGAAAAAAAAGAAAAAGAGAGTAAAAGAAATGAAAAGAAAGAGTGAAAAAAAAACAGGAAGGAAGGAAAGACATGAAAAGAAAGTATGTAAGACAGAAAGAGATGATGAACGAAAAAAAAGAGGAAAGAGGAAGAAACGAAATAAAGAAGAAAGAACGAAAAGAAAGATAAAAAAAGGAACGAAGAAATCAAACAAGAAAGAACGAAGGAAGAAGAAAAGAAGATTGAATGAGTGAAGGAACAAAAGAAATTGAAAAAAGAAAGAACTTAAAGCAGGAAAAATCAATGAAAGAAGATACGAAACAAAAATTGATGATTGATACGTGGAGTTTAGCGTCCCGAAACCGCCATATGGTCGTGAAAGACGCTGTAGTGAAGGGCTCCGGAAATTTTGACCTCCTGAGGTTCTTTACCGTACACCCAAATTTGAGCGCACAAGCTTACGGCATTTTCACCTCAATCGAAAATGGAGCCCACCTGTGGGTCAGCAGCCGCGTACCTTAGCCACTGGACCACCACGGTGGTGCGGAACGCAAAGAAGATGGGAGAAAAAAATAGAAAAAGAATGAAAGAGTGCAAGATGGAAAGAGAGCAAGAAAAGAAAAGGCAAAGAAAGAGAAAAGAAAAAGAAAGAAGGAAAAAGGAAGCAGGAACAAAGGAACCCAAATGAACAGAAAGAAAACAGAGAAAGAAGAAAATGAGGAAGCAAAACAAAAAGAAAGTGTGCAGAAATAAAAGAAAGATCGAAAGAAAAATAAGGAACGAAAGCAAGAAGGCATGAAGGAAAGAAGACAGGAATGACAAAAGAAAAGAAAAAAAACAAGTAAGGTAAGAAGGAAAGAAAAGAAAAAGAATGAACGAAAATACGAACGAAAAAGTAGGAATGAAAGGGGAATGAAATGAGAAATGAAGGAAGAAACTAGGAAGCAACGACACAAAATAAAAGAAACTAAAGAGGAAGGAAGAAAAGAAAGACGCAAAGAAGAAAGGAAAGAATGAAGAAAGGAAATAAAGACAGATTGAAAGAAATTAGGAACGAAAGAAAAGAGAAAGAAATGAAGGAAAGAAGAAAGGAAAGAATGATGGAATGAAGGAAGGTATGAAATAAAAAGGAAGGAAAGATGAATAAAAGGAGAGAGAGAAAAATTTAAAGAGCAAAAAAAGCAGGAAGGAAAGAAATAAGGAAGGGTGGAATGAAAGACCGAAGGGGTGAAATAATGAAAGGAACAAGGAAGGAAAGAAAGAAGAAAAAAATGAAACAATGAAGAGATTATAAAAAGAAAAATTTCGAAAGAAAGAAAGCGTTAAGTAAATAAGAAAAGAAATGAATGAAAAAGAAAGAGAGGAGAAAAGAAAGAATGACAAAAAGAAAGAATGAAAGAACGAAAATGTGTGGAATGAAAGACAGACAACACGAAATAAATGGATAAATAACAATGGGAAGAACAATAAGGAATGTAGGGAAAAGGAACGAAGAAATAAAAGAAAGAAGAAAAGAAGGACGGAAAGATAAAGAAAGGAATAAAGTGGAGAAGATAAAAGAAATACGGAGTGATTGAAAAAAAGCAAAGTAGGGAGTAAGGAAAGAAGAAAGGAAAAATTTATGGAAGAAAAGGAAGAAAGAAATAAAAGGCAAAAATTAAGAACCTAAGAAAGAAAGAAAGTAGGAAAGAAAGATGGAGAGAAGGAATGAAAGAAGAAAGTAAATAAAGAAGAAAGCAGTGAAAGAGGCAGAGAAAAAAAGAGGCAGAAGAAAAGAAAAGATAAAAAAGAGATATACAGAAGGATCGAAAGAAAAAAGAAACGTAGTAGGAAAGAATAAAGAAAGAAGCAAAGGAACAACGAATGAAGAAAGGGAAGCATAAAAGAAAAAAAGAAAGAAATAACATATGACAGGAAGAAAAAGAAAGACCGATAAAAAGAAGGAATGGAGGAAAGAAGAAAAGCAAAGAAAGAAGAAACTAACTGAAGAAATATTCAACAATAGAAGAAAAAAGAAACAAATAAGGAAAAAGAAGAAGAGAAAGTAGGAGGAAAAGAAAAAAGAAGAAAGAAAACGAAGAAAGAAAACAAAAGAAAATGAGTGACGAAAAAGATAGGAATCGAAAGGAAGAAAAAAAGAAGAAAGAATGAAAGAAACAAAGATAAAGGAAGGAAAGAACCCGACAGAAAGTAAGATTGAGAGAAGGAAAAAAGAGAAAGAAATAGAGAATGAAAAGAAGAAAAAGAGAGTAGAAAGGAAGGAAATAAATAAAAAAGGAAAGGAAAAAATGAACCAATAAATAAGGCATGAAATATATAAGGAATGCAAGAAAGAAAGTAGCAAAGAAGGAAGATACAAGGTGCCTAATTATTTGCAGAGAATAAAATCAAAGAGGAAAGGAGCACACAAGGCGAATAAATCAGCAATGAAAAATTTTTTAAGTTGCAGTAAGGCTGGTGCATGTGCCCAAAAAATGTTTTTATGCCCATTAATCTTGACCATGAAGTGTCATACAGTCAGCAACTGCAAAACAAGTGACAACAAAAAAAGACGAGAATGCAAGGTAAACGTTCGTCCACTTACGTATGTGCGGCAACAAAAATATCGCACGCTTTCTCTGCTGAACTTCTCAAACTCTTTCTTAACAACAGGCCTGCGAGAAGAACGAAAGCCATTTTATGGCAGGAGTTTTTAAACAAAGAACACACATATTAGAGATTATTTTTATTGGACAAAAAGGAACTAAAAATCAGATGCTACAATGACACAAAAGATGCAGAACGTTAACATTAATTTTAGCAAGTATTTTCAAGAATGACCCTGGAAATGGTTTTACCATGTAGTCATGGTCAATGAAAAAGAGAAAAAATGAACATGTATTCTTGCCGAAGAGAACGGTTTGCACTACAATTTTCATGCGCCATGGTTTTTCCTTAAAGACGGTGATAAATGTGTCGATAGTGACTTGCATCGGGTGAATGGACATGAGGGCTAGACCATCAGGCCGCTCCTCAGCCACTTCATCAGCTATACTCATTGGGAGCCTTGCATATATTTTGAGAAGCGTGTGAATGTTCGAGAAGAGAGCATTGTCACAGATAGCT